GTGTCATGGGAGAATAAGATGACTAACTATGTGTCCTCTTACATCATCTCCCTTACATCATCAAGCTCTTCCAAATCAAGATCATGCCATTTGCCTTATGATGTGTCTTTCTTTTAGAAAAACATGTGTTTAAAAATATATTATTTTATTACATAATTCATTCTTCTAGACATGCCCTTCATAAATTGAAAAATTTAACCATGTTCTCTCTTCATAAAATGGCATCACAAATGGTAAAAAATTAGGGAGAAAAATTGCTCTACCAAGCTTTAGGTCAAGCTCTTCCAAATCAAGATCATACCATGTGTCTTCTAAATCCTAAGATCATATCATTGGCCTTATGAGGTATCTTCCTTCGAAAACAACATGTGTTTAAATATATTATTTTATTACATAATTCATTCTTCCATGCATGCCCTTCATAAATTTGAAAAATTCCAGCCATGTCCACTCTTTATAAAATGGCGCCAAAATGGTAGGAAATTAGGGAGAAAAATTGCTCCACCAAGTTTTAGGTCATTCTACTAAATAATTACACTTAATCAGTTAAATTTTTCTTAAATTCTATCTAATCTAGAAGCTCTAAAAATTTGTTTCTTCATGCCAGTAAACTCCTTTTAATGAGAGGAAGTTTCCTAATTTTTCTCAAACTAAAATTCAACCTATAACTCCTTCTATTCAAATATCTCCAAAATCGGCCTCCTATCAATATAATTTGACATTAAATGTTTTTAAAGTTAACCTTCTCACCTTCAAAGGTTTGGAATAATTTTACAATTTGTAATAAATATCCCACTAATTTTTCTCATTTCTGTTTGAACAATTGATGCCTCCATACATTTAATAATTCTCATTTGTAATTATAGAAAATTCTCTGATAAATAATTCTCATTATGTTTTCATCTTTTATGCCTCAAATATTATTCTAGACACTACTTTATTTTTCATGAATTTTTGAGAAATTTTAGAAATTTTAGGCATAATTTCCAATGTTACTATTCCTTAACTAGAACTTTTCAAAATGACAGTTAAGTCCCTATTCGGGTTTCACTCTAAAAGTTATTTCATCTCTATCTATACTATTCTATCTGGTCCTTAATCAGTTATGAATCCCTCATCTCGTAGGTTAAAATTTACAGAATGTGACACATGTGGCAGTAGAAGATGGTAACGACACATGGAAGTAGCCAACAGCCACCACCGGCGATAAGGTGATGGATAGTGGAGGCACCACGTGGCATTTTAATTTTTTTTTCAAAAAATCAGATTAGTGGCAAAAAATTTTTGTCACTAATCCAATTAGTGACAAAAGAATTAGCAACAGAGCAAATTTTGTTCCTAATACGATTCCATCACTAAAATTCATTGCTACGCATGTTTTTTTTTTTTTTTAATAGTGAAGGTAGCACTAAGGATGGCGTGAAGGCAGTGTTAGGTTTGTAAGAAATGGGAATATGAGAGGATTTGCATCCAAGGACATATGGTAAGCAAAATTATTGTCCCCTACCCTGTCATACTTTGTCTAAGGACGAGAAATGGAGTATTTGCAAGTGTTTGCATGGCATCAAAGTACCCTATGAGTATTGTTCAAATTTAAGGAATCTTGTGTCGATGAAAGATTTGAAACTAGCTGGCCTAAAGTCTCATGATTGCCATGTCTTAATGCAATAATTACTCTTAGTGGCCATTCAAGAGTTACAAGAAGATAATTTAAGACACATTTTAATGAGACTTTACTTCTCATTTAATACAATATGTAATAAAGTCCTTAAGCCTAATAAATTGGATGAATTGGAAGATGAAGATAATTCCATATTGTGCCAACTAGAGAAGCTCTTTTTTCTTTTGTTTTTTTTTGACATCATGATACACCTAATTGTTCATTTAGTGAGAGAGATAAAGTTGTGCAGCCCTATCTATTTACTGTGGATATACCTAATTGAAATATATATGAAAATTCTTAAAGGACATGTGAAGAACCTAAACCAACCTAAAGCATCTATTGTTTAAAAATATATTTTAGAAGAAGCTATGAAATCTTGTCAAAGTTATTTGTCAAAAGTAAGACCTATCGGTAGGCTTCCTAAAAATTATTCCAAATATGGGGGTAAAAGTAGGGTTTTAATGAAGAGTGTAGATCATATTGAAATAGAACAAGTACACCTACACATCTTGAATAATATTGATGGAGCACAGGGCTACATATTTGCTCATAAAGATGTTGTAAGGAGAAAAAAGGTTAATCGAGAATGATTGAGTAAAGGCTAATCACAGAGTATCACAAAAGTTTTGCATAATGGTTTAAACAAGTGGTTGGAGAAGAGGTGTCATATCCCAATTTTTAGGCCTAGAAGCCAAGAAAGTAGCTTAAAGAAGGTAGCTACCAAGCCCTTTGAGTAGAAGTCCCAAAGATGTGAAAGGAAGTTAGAATGGGAATAGGGACTAAACTGCAAACTGAGAAAGTTTCTAGGGGCAAAGTGTAAATAAAGTCAGGGACTCCCAGGAGAGTCTCAAGGGCTCATAAAGGAAAAATAGGTTAGGTGTAGGTCTAAGATTGAGGTGCAGGCCTCAAAGTGATGATTCATTAGGTTGAACCCAAATAGGGACAAAATCGTCATTTCAAAAAGTTACGGGCCAAGAGGGATAATTAAGAAAAGTATACAAAAAATTTTAGAAAAATATCAGAAAATGGGAAATGATGTATAGAGGTCTTTTGATGAAGATAAATGATAAAAATATCCCTACAGTAATTTTAATGAGATTGTCAATATAGTAACTCAGTTTGAGGTAGTTATCTAGATGCAATTATTTGAGCTATGAGAAGGCTTGAAAAACATATGTAAAAATAGGGAATAAATAGTAAGAGACTAAAAAATTTTATAAAATTAGTTCAACTCCAAAAGACCAGTAGAGTGGTTTTAATAAAATATAAAGTCCAGTCATAGCCCTAAGAGGCATGTTACGGGAAAGTCAAAAAGAAATAGTTAAAGGAAGAGTTATAGCCCAAGAAAATTCATAAAATTTCTCTATAATTAAAGGAAGTTTATGGAGCAGACATGAAAAATTTTTGAGCTCTAGTAGGCTATTAAGAAAGGTGAATAAATGTGAGCCAAGTAAATTAGAAAGAAACTTGGAGTTCAAGTTTGATCCAAGGGTCAAGATCTAATCTTCTCCTTTCTTTTCCATAAGATTTCGCCACATGACATAGTGAGGCAAGAAAGAAGTCTGATGATGTCAAGGGTATGATGTCATGAGGACATTTGGCAAGTTCTTGTGGATAAAGACTTGAAGCTTGGACAAGTAGCCTTTTGAATGGTCATATTTTATCAAGGGCAAAGTTGGCAACCCTTGTCATAATTTTGGCTATAAATACCCCTTCTTGGAAGAGCATTTTGGAAAGCATTTATAAAGAGAAAACTCTACAGAAAATTAGAGAGAAAAATGTGGGGGTGAAGGCCAAGAAGAAGGAATAAGATTCAAGCTTCAAGATCAAGGTCTGTAATGATCCCAGCACCTTGATTAAGTTCCTGTTCATATCTGAATTTGAAATTTGGCATGATTAAAACCCTAATCTTTAAATCTATAGGTAGAACACTTATTTGGATATGTGTATGATTTATGGTGATTTTTCAAAGTTAGGGTTTAAAATATGAAAATAGTTTTTGACCATTGGAATAGTAGAAATTTTGCACAATTATGGTACTTTTTCACACCAAATTGGTTCCTAAAATATTTTTCCTTTAAAGATAAATTAAGGAGATTTTAGTAGGAGTTAGAACGACTCAATTTTGATTTTTTTGGAATTAATTATGAATTTTCAAAATTGAGTAAAAATTCTAAAAATACCAAATGAATAGTACCCGCGAAGCAAAAATTCCAGATTTGATCTTCTTGCATCTAAGGCTATCTAAAATGGTGCTAATAACTGAAAAGTTTAAGTATGGTAAATGATGATATTTATGTTAGAAATATGGCTACATGATAGAAAAGCTAGAAAGAGAACCCTAAAATCAAGAGAAAGGGTTGAAGTTCAAGAGAGCAAGTCTTGACCTTTGTGTGATTTCTTAGTCCTAAGGAGTTATGTGAATCTTGTGGCTGTGTATAGGACCTCAGAACATCCAAGAAGATGTTTTGATGATGTTGACTAAAAGCCCTCATGGTTGGAAAGTCATGGGAGTAAAAAAAAAAACAAGAGGAAAGCCTATGGTACAAGTGAACTTACCTATTTTATGTAATTGATGTTTATGCTTGTTGTATTGATTTGTATGATACTAATTGTGATGATATGAGCTATGTATAAATGATTTATGTTCTGTATCTTGATGATTTCAAGGCCATGCATGTAGTAGGAGACATTAAGCATAAGGTTAGTTCACTAAATTTGCATAAAGATAATCAAGGAGGCATATCGTACACTTGCATTCATCTTGCATGTATTGATAGTATTATTTGATACTGAGATTTTCTCAAATCTCACCCCTTCCTTAAGCAACCATAGTAGGTCTAATGACGAAAGAAAGCATGCGTGAAGAAGGCAAGAAGATGGAAGCAAAGAAGGTGGAGAATTTCTATGTGTTACAATGCGATGTTTCATTTCGCTAGTAATGTAATTATTTAGTAGACATGCTTAACATGAAATGTGATGTAATATGATGATGTATGATATTAATGGCATGTAATTTAAAGTATAAGAATAAATGGGAAACCATAAGGCTAGTTTACACATGCTTGAATTAAGGAAGAATTAAAAGTGAGAAGCTAATGAAAGATAAAACGTAGATCCTATAGCAGTGAGTTCCAACTCTAGATTGACCTAGCAAATGGTGGAATCTGTGACAACTGTTCTTTCAAAACCCATTTAGATTAAATCAAACAATTTATTCAAAAGATTAACCATGATAGAAAAGAAGAAACCTTAAAATTTTAAAATCACTATCATGGTTAAAAGAAATAATCTTATAGCACAAGTAACATCGATCATTAACTTGGGCCTTAAACTTTCAAAGTCCAGAAGTATCATTCAACCATTAGCCCAAATCAAACTCATACTTTCAAACGTACTAATTGATAAATCATTTTAATATATGGAGTCCATTAGTCAAAAGTCAATACTTTTAAAGAGTGCCATATGCAGAGTCTTAGACGTCTTTGACCTTTTAATGGCCCTCTCATATCAGGTAGTAGTAATTAAAAATATTAGTTTATAATATTAGAGTAGATGAGCCCTATGTGGCAATATATAACCAATAGCACATAGAACAAAAGTCGAGAGGTTATAAAAGCTATAATAGCACGCTATGCCTCCAGAGCCTTCCCTGATGGGGCACCACCTAGACTATCACCTGAAGATAGTAAAAACCATAGGGTTAGACAAACGTCTTAGTAACTAATTTTCCAACTCATTATACATACCAACATGTGCTCGTGAGGTGTCAAGTGGGGCAATTATTAAATCTCAATATATATCGATGAAAATATAAAAATGCATATTCAAATAATCTCAATCATCCAAACCCTCATTACGGGGGCTAACAAACAAGCCAGATAAGTTTATCCCTCAATAATGGGGGATCAATCTGACATATACGCTTATCCCACTCTTTGGGGGACGAATAAGTAGTCACAAAGGTTTATCTCTTATTATAAGCCTATCCCACACTTTGGGGGACGAATAAAAAGCCACAAAGGTCTATCCCTTACTTTGGGAACGAAGGAAGCCATCCAATATACACCAATGGCGGCCCTACCACGTGGTAGGATAGGGCTCAATCCAAAATCCAAATAACAACCAATCATTCACAATATAACAAAAATGTCTCAATCTTTTCTTAGTATAATCTATAAGATATAAACCATATATCTTTTCCAAACTTCTCAATCACAATTCCAAAAATCCCACAAGACAATTTTCATAGCTTAAAAGATATAACATATCTACTCGAATTCCAAGTAACAAATATTATTCTAAAATAGCAAAATACTCACAAACAACATATTAGTACATATAACAAGTAAAAGTGGTTACCTCTCGTCAAAGTAATAAAAAAGATTACCACAAGGTCAATCCTTTGCTCAGCCAATAATTAATCTACACAATTAATATAACCACATATAAGTCTCAAAATTTCCTCTAATCACTATAGTAATACTACTATTAGAAAGCATAAAATATATATGAAATATTTATGAAGAAAGTTTCAGGTATTTAACTTATCTTCAAAACTTGCCCTCTCCTTTACTGGTATGCTCCTCTTACTCTTTCACACACGCTATTCTCTCTTTACCGCTCTCATACGCCGGGGAAAATTGGATTGTGGGGAATGTTAAAATAACACTCCCACACATATATTAGGCCCCCTCATATTTCTCTCCCAACTCCCAACTCCCAACCTTTAACCTTCAACCTTCACTTTCAACTTTTCACTGAAATTCGGTGAAAAGTTGACTTCATTATTTTTTTAATTTTTTAATTTTTTAAAATATTATTATTTTATTATAATAATAAAATATTATTATTTTATTTATATATTTTTCTGAATTTTTTTAAATCCTAAAATAAACTTTAGGATATTACAGAATCAGATCACAAAATTTAGTGATCATATAATACACATCCCAGGCTTTAAAATCATAGATAGGTTGCCTTAATTGGATGTGTACATTAGGATATATGAATTTTAGAAATTGAGGCTGAGAATTTGGAAATTCCAAAATTGATCAAATAAACAGTAAAGTTCAATAAATAAACTGTATGAATTAGTCAAGGATAAGTCTAGTTTCATATTTTTTTAGTAGAGCATTGAAAGAGCTTTGATTAGAAATTTGGAGCAACCCCATATGATTTTTATAAAATTAGTTATAAATTTTTGAAGTTAGACCTGTAATATGGAATTTCTGCATGAATAGCACTCGAGGACCTTAATGAAAAGTTCTAAAATTTTCGAGATTAAGGAATGATTCTACTTATTCTTTTTGCTCCTAAATGCGTTCTATGAGGAGTAAAAGTAAGGATTTTTTATTTTGGTATCAGAGCAAAGGTTCTGACAAGTGTTTAAAGAGAACAAAGCTTCTGGTAAGTTGCTGGCAAAGGTATAAATGGGGTATTGGTTCAAGCAAAACTTGGTTTGAGTGAAACCCCTATTTAGGAAAGTAACGGGTTACTAAGATTAGTCCAACTAAGGTTAAGAAATTGAGGTGATTTCTCCAAGAGAAACAGGCATAGAAGAGAAATAATGAATGACAGAGAGTAACCTAGAGATAGGTAGTTGCTACTAAGAGAATTTTTCCTCAGAAGAGGAATGGTTGAGCTGAGAAAGCTAGACTAAGGTATAAGTCAAAATCAAAAGACTCCCCTAGAGGATAATGGCTAAGGATACAGTGAGTTAAGTAGGGGTATAAGTCTATATCCTAATAGAGAAGCAGAGTGACAACCCAAGCCTTAGGTGATTGATTTTAGATGCCTGACTGAGATGTTACTTAGCAAGAGTTCCATGGAGGGTAATTGAATGATCTTTGCCTACTAAGTAATGCGGTCAAATGTAATGATCGATGTGTGACCATGTAATAAATGGTCTAGAACTAAGAGAAGCTAGAAAGAGAAAGAGTCAAGTAGTATTCTTTGAGGATACAGATAATGAATGATAGAGGAAAATGGTTGCACCACGAACTAATACAGAGAAAGGAAGTTATCCTCATTGATACCTAGACGGATGTTAGTGGTTGGGACCGAGTGGTATTTTCTTGTGTCTTTAAGTCATCGTAAGGAAGTGCAACCATAGTATTCAAGCTAGTGAGGAATATGAGAGTTGGGATTCCTATAAACAAATACCACTGCTGATGTAACTAAACAAATCAGGTTGAGAGGCTACTCCTAACTGTGATATGACATGGGAAGAATGTGCCCTAACAAAAATTGAGTAAAGGAAAGGTCTTGACCATGGAGTATCCCTCAAGATTGGGAGGTGGTTCTCTAGATCAGAGCAACACTGCTCTAGTAAGAGTGAGCTATCCTTTGAAGGAATGAAAAGGAAAGTAGTTATTATGCAGCGGACATCACTATGGAAAGCAATGCGTCCTCCCAAGATGGTCAATTTGACGTTGTGATAGTAAAAGCAATATGTCCTTCCTTAAGAAAAGTGAGTGGTTGAATTGACAATACCCTGCTGAGAGCAATTTGTCCTCCTATAGGAATAGTAATAGTAGCTGAGACAAGGCATACGGAGTAACCTTCCCCCAATAAGAATAGAAATTGGTCAAGAGTAAGGCAACGATGAGGTGTGCTTAAGGTACTAAGGGAAAGCAAAGGAGGAAAAAGAGAAAGTGATGATGTAACTCCTCTCCTTGAGCAATCTCGTGTCACTATGGATAGCGAGAACAGGAAAGGAGTTAGAGGAGTCATGCGACAAGATAGATCAATGTGATAATGATATGAAAGTCAAAAAGCTATGTAGTTGAGGAAAGGGCCTAGAAGTAAAAAGAGGTCTAAGGAAGGGAACTAGCCTAAGAAAATCAAGAATTAATAGTTGACAAACAAGTATGCAGCCTGATGATTAAAGATGCATAATAAAAAAGAAAGTGGCCTGAGGAAGCTAAAACTAAGGGCTAAGAAAATATGGAAAGGCTAAGAATTTCAAAGTGGACGAAAAGGATTAAGTAAGGCCTAAGAAGACAATATTCGTATTTGTGATCAGTCTTGGGGAATGATCAGTCAAGTTATCAATTGAGTAGAGGTGGCTTATTTTATTACCCAATCCTGTGGTCTAAAGTCTCACAGGGATTTGGAATATGGCTCATGTAGAGGGAAATTTTAGGGTCACAATAGATTTTGAAGAGGCTTACAGTAGAGCGTAGTAGCTCCTGAGGTCATGGTAGACCAATCCTAAGGGAAGCCATTAGAATACTTGGGTCCAAGGGCAGTGAGTTTCCAGCTCCAGATTGACCCAGCAAATAGTGGAATCTAATCACAATTTTTGGTGATCATCTAGTACACATCCCAATCTTTAAAAGCATGGGTAGGTTGCCTTAATTGGATGTGTACATTAGGAGATACAAATTTTAGAAGTTGAAGCAGAGAATCTGGAAGTTCTAGAATTGACCAAATGAGCAGTAAAGTTCAACGAATAAACTGTATGAATTGGTCAAGGATAATTGCAGTTTCATATTTTTTCCTAGTAGAGCATTGAAAGAGTTTCAATTAGAAATTTGGAGCAATCCTATATGATTTTTATAAAATTAGTTATGAATTTTTGAAGTTAGACTCGTAATCTAGAATTTCTATGTGAATAGTGCCCAAGGACCTTAATAAAAAGTTCTAAAATTTTCAAGCTTAAGAAACAATTCTGCTTATCCTTTTCGCTTCCGAATGCATGCTATGGGGAGTAAAAGTAAGGACATTTCAACAGAAAAGTGTTTCTAATATAGTTAAATTGTTAGACTAAAGGGCAATATGATTATTTTAACAGATTTGCAAATCCTAAATTGGTCACTTATGCTTAAATTAGGAGATTTTGCTAATTCAAGTGACCATTTTGGAATTTCCAAGTTTAAGTGTCATTTTTGTGTCTTTTTCCCTGTTTAATATATCATTGAGGTTTCAATCCATTTGAATATTGAGTAGGTTAAAGATACATTGTTGAAATAATTTTTGAAATCTTAAAGAATTGTAAATTGAGAATTTTATAAAAGTTAAAATTTATTTACAATTCAAAGGAGTTCTTTGGTTGAAGAAAAATTTTAAATAAGACTAATAAATAATTGAGATTTTAATATGAATTATTTAGATTTTGGGTAATAAAAATATGTGTATATATATTTATTTAAGTTATTAAATTTAGATATTGTCTTATATGAAAATTTTATTTCCAAATAAACATTGTATCTATTATAAATAGTTCGATTTGTGAGAATTAATATGTTTTATATAATTTTGGTTTAAAAGCTGGTCTTAGAATTTTAAAGTAGTTTTAGAATAGTTTTGAGTTATATATATTAATAAATATTTATGTATAATTTTATAGACTCTTGAGAATTTTGGAGTAATCGTTGTGTGATTATTTGTAAGTTAAAATATAGTAGGTAACTCTAAAAATTCTTTCATGTACATGTAAATTGCATATAATTATATTGTGGATTTACTAGTTTTTATTATATCATACTGAAATGTACGTATATATCATGAGTTTTCAAAGAAATGTTTTAATATATTACTTTATTTCATTAAGATTGATTGCTATTAATTATAATCAATATTTAAATGTATTGATAATTATTGAATTATAATGAGTTGCTGCTACATTTTATAGAAATTTTATTCCTCTCTCATTCTAATAATACACTTGAGGACGTATTTATGATGTAAAATTATTTGTATATGACATATACATTGTTGGGCTAAGGATAGAAGGAACTATGCATAGATAAAAAATTACTATGTGGTATGTCATCACTCGGTGCACAATAGATGGTACTTTTCAGGGCTCCTTCTTTCATTTTTTTTTTGGCCGTGAATTCATTGGAGCTATGAGACATATGACACCTCCTTATTTTTATTTTCAAAGGAAGGGAGCCATAATCCGAACTTAATTCTATATCTTTTGCTTAATATATCTCAAATATTGGTGAGTTTAGAATAATCTAGTAAAATATATTAGTTTCCATTGGACTATGTGTTAGCCTGTGACTCCAATCAGTAGTATAAGGATGGATGACGATATAAGGAAGGTTGTATATTGTATTATTTTTCAATATATTGGAAAATGATATTAGTATCTTGTTTGAATTAAGAGTGAATTTAAGTTGAATGTAAAAATTCGTGATTTTTATACACAAATGCACACACACATAATCAGATTTTTGTTTGTTATATATAGCTTGTTTGTATATGTTAGAATTTCAGTAGTTACTAAAACGTTAGCTCACATCCCTTATATTAGTATTTTCAGGTGAAGGATCTAGTAGGAATCAAGAAAAAGCATTGATAGAGTGAGCCATGAAGGCTTCTGTACTCCTCAAGCACATGTTATGTTTTATTTGCCACGATTATAAGACTTCAATACTATATTTTGTTAAGTTATGTCAAAAAAATATTTATAAATTATGACATGTTTTGAATGCTAGAAATACTTATGGACTTTTAAATGAAATATTTTTATCGCGTAAATGGATATAATTATGTGAGGTGTTATAGGTTGGGTGGATTTAGAGGGCGGTTGCCTCGAGGGCCGGTCTATCATGATCGCATTCATACTATCTCCTCCCTATTTAAGGATGTAACCCACCATAGGAAGTGAGTACTAAGACACAACAAACAAGACAAGATAGGGAAGGATATAATGTGAATATTGTATATTGTTAATATATGCATCAGAGTTGCACAACGAAAGCGTGGTGGACCCATAACCGCTCTGATATCAAATTTGTAACAACGAAACTTCTAATTCTTTGAATGTATCAATATTGAAAAACTAACCATGGTAGAATAGGAATTTTGTAAAACATTTAGGAATACTACCATGGTTATATAACCAATCTAAATCACAAGCAAAGTTAATTATGATAGAAAAGAGTTAAACCAATCCATAAATATATCTATCATGGTTAAAAGAGATTTTCTAATGACTGCATGCACACCAAGATTCACAATAAATGGGACTTTGGATATTATGAAACCCAGAATGTCATATTAAACCATAAGCCCATAACACAATATTACTGAATAATGCCTTTCATAACTTTCTAAAACCCAAGGTCATCTAGGATCAAAGATTATTGTGAATTCACAATTCACAACAAAAACCACAATTAAAAGTACAAAGTTAATACAATAAGCCTCATAACAAATTAGAGTATGTGGCATGTGTCCTAGTATGACAATATACAGCTATCCAACATAATTAAAAGAGTGGAAGCACTACAATTTTGCAGTAGTAGCTCAAACTTCCGGAGTCTTCCTTGACAGATCCAAATGAAAACTATCACCTCGAAAAGTGTTAAATCAATGGGGTGAGAAAAAAGCTTCAGTAACCAACACTCCTAGTTATCAAGGATACAAGTAGATGCTCCTAAAATGTCAAGTGAGATAATTGCAAATTAATGGTATTCAAACAAATTTCATATTGTCGAAGCATATAACAAAGTACAATAGATAATCCTCTCACCTCCCTTATATCCACCTGCCTTGTATCATCTGACTGAACCTATGGGCTAAATTTTTATCTATGGGACTAACAGTTAAATGAGTTCACATATCAAGCGATATGAACTGGCCAAAATCCACGGAGCACAAGACAAAACCATAAGTTCCCCTCTAGTCAACTAGTGGGGTGTCAATGCCCTACAATAAGTGATTAGGCTAAAGGACCAGCCAATGTATACCTGATGTCCCTACCACCTTATATCCTCTAATGTACATGATTCACCTCCTTATATCTTCTTTAGTGTAATTCCCATCATTAAAATTCGCCACCCTGCTAATATCAATATTCAAAAGATTATATTCATAACAAATCATCAACATGCCAAAATAAATTCAAATTTCCAATTCCCAATAATCCATAAACACATAATATCATCATAGTCATATATATATATATATATATTATAAAGAAAGTCCCACGAGACAGTTTCAATAACAACATAGTTTTGTAGCTCATATCATAATTCAATTACTTCATAAATCCTATATAATTTAAAATCAATCACAAGCAACATACAAGCATGCAAAATAAGTGGAAAGTAGTTACTTTTTATCTACTAGGAAAAGGATTACCACAAGGTTAACCCCGTATTTAAACCAACAATCCAATAATTTAATCTAAACAATCAATATATTTGCATATCAATACACAAACTATTTAATTAATTACTTGAGCAAGTATATAAGTTAAAGTTTCTAATTCTATGCTAAAATCCCATGCCTCTCATATCCCTTGCTTAAATCTTTTAGCACAAAATTATAATATCCCAACAATCCATTTTTTTATTTAAATCTTCCAAAATATTTACTTTAATAAAAATTTCTAAAATTTCTAAAATCTAAAATTATCATGTTTAAAATTCAAAAATCCGATCTCAAGTTTAAATCTCCAAATAAACCGTTAGAAATTCAATATACATCAAATATACTTAACTAAATAATTTGATCAAAAGTTCCATAGTAAAAATATCATATTTTCTGCCAAAAAAACTGTTTAACTAAAAAATTAATTTAAAAATATTAGATCACCCAGTAAATAAAAATAAACTGATAGAGATAATATACTAAAATGGCTTTACAATACTATACCCATCTATCGTCAAAACTTAACACTTACTGCAAATCCTAGATCCAAGAATTTTCTCTAAATAGCATAAAATTACAATCATTAGATAGATTTAGATGAGTAGAATGAAAGAGAGTTTAATGAAATGGAGTGGTTTGGAGTACCTAAATGATTTGTGAAGACAACCCGAGCTTCAAGAATGGCGATATTTTGGAAGGAAAGGAAGGCATCCGGAAATTTTCTCTCTTCCGCTGTGGGGTAAAAAAATTTGGGGTATATTGAACTTAAAAACCCCATGTTAAAATAGGAACAATGACAATTCAAAACCCCATCTTTCTCATTTTCCTCGCATTTTCTCTTTTTTTAATCTATTTTATTTTTTTATTTAGTAATTTCATTTACTTTTAAATTTTTTTATTTTCATAAATCCTGTTCTAAGTAAATTCTCTTTACTTAATTAATTAGAGAATAAATATAATTTATTAAGCATTAATTTCTTTCTAAGATTATTTAAATATTAAGAATAAAAACTAAGATATTACAACAAGAAAGAACAAAAAGAGTGGAGAACAGCTGCAAAAATGAGTGCCACTACATAATGTCTCATGGGGATTATGCCAAGGTAGATAAAGACTTAAAGACCACCAAGTGAAAGAGGTTACAAGAAGTAGTTGATTCATATTCTTCTCTCATCCTTACCCCACCATCTCTAATATGTCATGAAGATCTATGGTTATGTGCGCACCAACCAAAAGAAAAGTGGCACATACACGAGCGGGTATGCTCACAAAGTTGTTGAAAGAACCAAAGAATTGTTCGCATATTGTCATTATTTTTTTTAACTTTGGTTAACTAGTTTTTAATCATAACTTGTTATCTATTTGTTGTTATTATAGGACAAACTTAAATGCCAAGAAGTCAAGGGGACCTTCAAGCCACAAGATAGGGATAACATTAACTGTTGCTATGGGCAAGCAATAGCACGAAGGGCGTGTTAGGGGTGTTGGGCAAGGAGTAGGTATAAGAGAATACTTTGGACTACCAGCTGCACGCCATTTGAAACATTTTGAATTCTTAACACTAGGATTTAATTAAATTTATAAACAAATATCTGTTAGCATCAAGTTAATGGAGATTAAAATATAGACAATTTAATTGATTATGACTTTGTGTGTGTGTAATATTATAGAAATAAATAGCATAACAAGCTATAGAAGTGCCACATCAAATAAATACTAAAATGAGGCAGCTTTAGGAGCTATAAATAGGAGGTGGTAGGTAGAGTTAAGAATATCCTAAGCAAGTTTCACATACACTTAAGATAGTCTCAATAAATTATCATAAACCATTAGATCAAGCTGAAATTTGGTCAGCTAGTCTAGGACATTCAACTCATTGATTTCAACAATTGGATCAATCTATGAAGTGCAATTTATTAGATACGCTTTGAACTCGTTTTTCCATATTGTATAGATAGAAACCTTGGTAACTAATTATTATTTTTTAATTTGTTCACTGTTAGATCAAACTAAAAATTTGAGAGTAGACTTTAAACATATAAGTAATTAATTTTAATGGTTAGATCAATAATTAGACATTGAGTGAGAATAATGTAACTCATATTAAAGATGTTTTTTTTTAGATCTTCAAAGATAGAACAATTGGGGATCTTCTATCTAGGTTATGAATTGATGATTCTAATGATTTAATCTAATAACTTAAGGATAATGTAAGTTAAGGGATCCTAGGAATTGCATCTGCATTATCATATATACGTTCTACTCTGACCTTTAGAAAAGGCTTTTCGAAATAGAATTCTAAGTAATAGTTGAGGTCTTTGAGGGGGAGTTAGGGTTAAAATTTGATGAGTAGCTTACTTTAATACTATAAAGATAAATTTTTAATTTTGTTAGTAGATATAAATCATATTTTGGTGTTTTCAATTTCCAGTCTTGCTTGTGTTTGACTACTAGCTAGGAGACAAGGTAACTAAATTTTTATCTATGACATGCTCTGACATGTGCTATTGAGTGATTTTTATAAATGAATTCTTTTATATAAAGTTCTGATTTACATAAATTTTCTAGTGGGATCTTGGTCTAAATAATGTGATCGATTTTGGAAATAATTGACTCTTGGGATATGGTGTATGAGTTAGAGTTTTGATGAGCTATGTTTTTTGATTTATGTGTATATCCACATGTATGTTTTTGAATCATGTGCATATGAGTTGGGTGGTGAAGGAGATGATTGAAGATTACAGACACACACACACTTGCCACATGGTATTGGCTTCTATAGTTAGCCTTTGTTCTTGTTCTACTAGTTCTTCGAAGGACTATGACACCCCATTAATTTTTGAGAGAGACTGATGGAACTCTTTAATTGCATTTTACATGTGTAAAATTCATGGTGTTTATACAGATTATAGCTGGAAATTTTAAGGAAAAAAAATTATTTTAAGAAGCTTTGATATTATTTCAGATTTATATGCTTTCAGAAGCAAAATGGGAAAAAGAAAGCAAGTGAAATGATGAGTGATGAAAATTTGCTTGCTAGTTGGATTCAACTTGTTAAAAGTCAATTTGCATATACACGTGAATTACTTTTGCTTTTAGCCAAGGAATTGAAATTGAACAAAAAGAAGTAGTGAAGAGTCAAGTTGCACTTGAGGATACGTGGGTAGTTCTTTTCTTTGACTAAGAATTGAAGTTGAAAATCAAGAGGAAGATAGGACTGGATGGGTGGATATATTATATATTAGAAAATTTCCAAAGCAGTGAAGGGGAGACGTGCACACCTCTTGACTTTCACTTTTCACTCTCTCTCTCTCTCTCTCTATTTCGGATTTTCTTGCTTTCTCCGCCAAACCTTTAGTTCACACTAGTTCTCAATGGCGAAACAAATTTCAGAGTCTACCAAAGTCACACTTGCAACCATGGGGTGCTGAATCTTCCTCTTCATTTGGAGATCAACAGAAGCTTGAGTCATGGAGCTTGAAAGGGAGTTTGCTCAGCTTATTTTTCTGGATTTGCAAATACTCATCTCTGTTCAGAACTTGTGATTCCTTATATTATTAGCTGAGTTTGTGTACTTCTTTATGATTGTTAAATCAGGATTTCGAATGTGCTATGTGTTTAGGTGTCTAATGCTCTTTGTTTTAGAGTAGATTCAGTTGTGATTTTTGATTTGTTCAAATCAAATTTGTGACTGAGTTGATTAAAACTTAATGGATGCTATCTAGTATTCATCTAGGAGCTCTGGATGTATTTTATCTTCTTAATCTCTGAAGGGATGTTCAGATTTTTCTTCTAATCTAAACAAACTAAATCTTGATAGGCAGTGAAGGCTACGTGACTCTCTAAAGGAATTCTTTCAACTTGTTGCGTTAATTTCTTTAGGTAATCTGCTTCTAATCATTTTCCTTCTTATCCACTCTATCAAAAGAATTTTTGAACTAACAATTTCTACAAAATAACTTTTCTTCAACTTAATTTGTTGAGCACTCTGTTAACTGATTTTCAAGGAATCTTAGCTCTTCAAGAGATTGACCTGAGACATGCATAATTTACTACATATTTTTTGCAACCTAGAATTTTTGATAAGCTCCTACGACAGAGTTAATCAGAGACCAATAGTCCACTGGGTGCTCTGTGAACTTCAGTCCATTTATATCATTTATGTGGTGAGCTTGTGAGAGTAATCAATCATGTGATGTGACTTAGCCCGTGGGTCTAGTTGATAGAAATAATGAGGATATAAGGTTGGACTTGGGATTCATATTTGTGTGTATATATATATTTGGAATTATTTTTTAATTACTATCCTATGAATGAGATTAACAGTGATGTTATCTCTAAGACTGATATTGATATTATCTTGAGATTGGCTAATAAATCTGGTAAACATGTTTTACCTATTGACTAAAATTGTGTAGTTGTTTTTAAAACAGTATATCCTACTTGACATCTTTTTAAATTTCCAAATTTTAAATCAATCTTATTTACTATATTTTAATGACAATTAGTAACATTTAAAAAGCAAATAACAACACATTTTTATAATCATTCTTGATTTGATATTTTAAAATTTTAAAGGTATTTTTTTTAGGGATTTTCCCAAAATTATAAAACCAGTGTTTAAAAATTAATGGTGCTAAGATTAGAAACTAAAAAAAAAGGGGAGAATTCAAATTAAATCCAATCAACATACCTAAATTCAAGTTTAGGCCTATATTCTTAGCAAATTCCTAATTAGGTCATGATACCAGATTATAAAGTTGTGAATATTATTAAGTAATCAAAATGTCCTCTTTAATTAAAAAATTAATTATTTTACCTTTCTCAAGTGATCCCTCATCTCTTATGATTATTTTTTTAACATCAACAACAACAAACATATAAGTAATTTTACAGTTTTTCAAATATATATATATATATATACACACACATACTAAAACCATTAAAAATATTTTAATAAAACATGTTAAATTACAAATACAAGTAGCCTTTAAATATTTTTTTAATTTTCAGTTCTCATAATTTAGATTATTTTTATTTATTTGAGCAATGTTGGATCCAACAAAAAATGTAAATTATAACAACTTACTATCAAATATTTCTTGTAATTAAAATACTTTAAAATCTGAAAATAAATATATACAACCTAAAAAATAAAAAAAATTGTTTAAAGACTACTTATATTATAAATTAAAAATGTTTTGTTAAAATATTTTGAAGGTTTTAGTTATATATATAAAATCTCAAACACTAAAAAATTATTTATATTTTTTAACCTAAATATTAATAATAAGAGATGATGAACTACTTGGGAAGGATAAAATAATTAATTTTTATTTTTAATCAAAAAGGCATATTCTAATCATTTAACAATATTAAGAAATCTCTAATTAGACCTCATGTCCTGATTAAAAATTTGTTAATAGTGTAGGCCTCAATTTAAATTTAAGTATTTTCACTGGTTTTAATTAGGATTTTCTCCCCAAAAAAAATCCTTTTTTTAAAATTAAAGTAGCACACTTTGTTTTATATAATTCAATTTAAACGTACCGGAACACAAACATGCAACATTTACATGTATTTGTTATTTTCCTCCGAATTTAGTCGAACTTGGAATTTTTCTTTTTAAATAAAAAAAACAAAAAAAACTTGGCACGAGCGGACGGAGCAGCGGTGTAGGGGTAGTTTGTTAAACTCATTTCCCCTCATACCCGCCCTTTGCATCCTTACAAATCGTACCCATTATCGCTCCATCGCCGCCGTCTTCAAACTCTTCCCTCCTCCGGTCGTCGTCGTCGTCGTCGTCAGCAGCAATTATCTAGCAGTTTTAATGGCTGTTTCAGCTTTTACGAAATCAAAGTTATGATACCTTCAGTCATTCAAATTTCCGGAGTCTGTTCTGTGTTGTTGGAAAAGTTCGATTTTATGCCTGCTTTTTAACCATGCTTTCTCGCCTAATACCCAAACCTTCCTATTTCCGACGCTTTGTCTTGCTTACTTCAAAATCTATCTCACATCCCCAACCATATTTCACCTATTCTGCCACCACCACGAATTTACTTATTTTCCCCAAATACTTCTCCACCAACGGGAACAATAACAACAATGGCAGGGATCAATCTTCTACCAGTGTCTGGAAAGATTTCCGGGAGAGTGAGGATAAGTTTGACGCTATGTTCGCCAAAGATAGTGGAATATTTGATGAATTTAATGAGGGAGGTGACGGCGCCAAGGCCCCAGTCAACAAGGACCAATGGTGGTTAGAAGAGAAGGGTCTTGATAATGAAGATGAGGATGGTATATTTAAAAGGATTCACAAGAAAAATGATGAGAAGGGTGGTGATTTTGGCAACCAGCTATGGCATGGAGAAGAGCTCCTGAAACCTTGGACCTTACGGGAGGAAGGGAAAGATGTGTTTAATTTCCAAGATGTTGTAAGCAATGCGGGTGAGTTCAGGCCTGATATTAGTATTGTGGAGAGTGAGACAACTGACAGTCAGGGAACTGAGGATCCTGAGAAACTTGAGAAGGAAGAGAAACAGTTGACTGCCGTTCTCAAAGGTAAGTGCTCAACCCGGAATGCATTTTGTCATTTTTACCAGCTATTTTAGTGGGTGATGATTCGTGTTTTGGTGATCGCAAGTGTATATTTCATTTTTGAATTTCAGTGTATCATTCTTGAAGCAAAATATGGCTAAGCAATGAGACGATAAGTATAATTATTTTGTATAATCAATCCTCATTTGTTGAATTCTAATATTGTTGCGTTTTCTTATGGAACCTTATTTGTAATTTTAGGGGTGAGCACTGCTTGACTAATGAGTTTTCATATTATAAATCTGTCTTGAACCAATCCTTCTGGATTCTTTAGAGAATTGAAGTGGAGTATTGTTTAGAAAACCTTAGCGTTTCCCTTTGCGCTGTTTGAACAAGTCCTATTTTGGGAAGACTCTGCTTTGTTCTATTCATCTGTTTCTATCATGTTTCTTTTTGTTTTGGGATCCCACGCTTCTAGCTGTGTTAGTATAGAAGAGCCTAACGATGGCTGTAAAGATGATAGAATGGCAATATCAAAATGTTAAGGACTGAGTATGTGCTTTCACGTCCTATTGCTTAACATAGGTTTGCTGATAGTTAGTGGTTGAACACTGGCATCTTTATGATTACTAATTACATGGAAACCGTTAATGATGAGCGGAATGAAGAATAAGTTCAGTAGTAACATGATAATGCACAAAATTGCTTATGCTGTGTTTGTGAAACTTAAGTAGTGTTGGTACTAGGAGGACTTTTCATGTATGGAAGCTTCACAGTCAGAAAAAGAAAAGGCTTTCCATATGGTGTAACTACTATCTTCTGGGCCGTATTTGTTCTCTTTTTGTTGCTTGGAGAGGAAGGGTACTGATCAAACCAGCCCTATTGGTTCCTATAAAAGGAAAATATGGCACAAAATAGGAGGAAATACAGTGATAAATGCACTAAACATAGTGTATTTAATGCATGCAAATAAAAATCTCCTACTTCGAAGTCATCCAACTCTGGATCATAGTTACGTTTTGTCTGTTATTATAGGATGTTGTAGTGGTTAAGGAGTCGAAACATAACAATTAGGCACCTCTAGTAAGAATGTGGGAGTGATAGTTTAATAATGCTTAATTAAGGAAGCAATATATAGGAAAAATCACTTGCAGTGCGTCATCATATTCTATGAAGTGATGATGATTTTGAAGCGAGAATAATTTAGGGAATTCATCTTGAGCAATTGAGTGTAAAATTTGGTCAGGACAGGCGGCCTTTCATGTTTTTTCCCCCCATCAGCTATTATACTTCTTCATTTGCACTTCAGATCAAGTACTGGACAACCATCAAATTAAACTGAGATGAGGATGTTGCAGTAGACAACATGTAAATTGAGATTAGTTTAAGGGATATAGAAGAGGTGGACCTTCATTGAGAATATAACATATACGCAGTGTGATTTGAGTGGGGATGTCTGTTAGAACTGATCACTGCATATTTGCATAGGTGAAAATGATCTAACTTTAGATATGATGTGGTTATGGCTCACTCACGTATTGGATACATTTTTTAAAGGGGCTGTACTTGGGAAATATATTCATTTGCTGGAGAATCTGAAAATTCAATGCTAGATTTGTTCTCTATCTCATCTTTTTGATGATAATATCACAACTGAGGAAGAAGAAAATCAAAGGCTCCAGATTTTTGTCCATTGTCTTATATTTTATGTATCATAACTGGTAGGAGTTGGATCAACTCATTTTCTTTTTATCCTTCTTGTTGCTTTTTCTTTTCTTTTTAATACAATTCGCTTGCTGAAGTTGCATTGTTTTTATTTTTTTTGGTTATCTATATGATACAAAGATGTTTGTTTAGTCATGGATCATGGAATGCAATGCCACTTTCCTAATGTTGAGAGAAAATCTGAAGTTTTCATATTATTATTTTCTATTACAGGACCCAACCGTGCTTTTGGTGACCTTATTGCTGCTTCTGGAATTACGGATGCAATGATTGACAGTTTGATGGCATTGAAGGACTTTGAAGGGGTTGATGGCTTGCCACCCCTTAGAGAAATAGAAGACATGCGCTATGAAAAGAGTACTAAAAAATCTACTAGAGCTGAAATTGAGCGTCAGAAACAGGAGGAAGCTGCAAAAGCAAGAGTAAGAAAAGTAGATGAGAAAGGACGTGCCTATGGAACAGGAAGAAGGAAGTGCAGTGTAGCTCGTGTTTGGGTTCAGCCTGGTGATGGAAAATTTATAGTTAATGATAAAGAATTTGATGTCTACTTTCCTATGCTTGAACATCGGGCTACTCTATTACGACCTTTCTCTGAGACGAAGACATTGGGTCTTTGGGATGTCAATTGTACAGTGAAAGGAGGTGGTGTTTCAGGTAAGGTTACTGACTTATAATTACATCTTCTGTGTTTGCATTTAATTCTCAATGATTCTGTTATGATAGTGCCATGTTCTATTCATTCATTCATAATTCATTTTTGGAAACGAAAATGAATTATTAGAAAACTGCTGGGCAAGACAACCTCCTATGAGAGATAACGTGCCAAAAAGGAAAGAGAAGAAAAATTAGGAAAGAAATAACGAACTTAAGTAAATAACAGTTGAGCACCCTCCAAAAAGAATGATGAATAGAACACTAAAAGAAAGCAAGAGATAAGAACTTTTTCCCCGTTAGTCATTGAGTGTAGTTGAAATACCTTTAAGAATTCTAGCATTTCTTTCAAACTAAAGAAACTGAATCACAGCAAAAACTACACTGTGCCACAAAACTTTGTAATCTTATTTCTACCCCCAAATTATATCAATGAAAACTTTATCCAGGTTTTCTGGAGTAACGCAGATCTGGAAACAATATCAAATAACTTATTCCAAAGAGACGTAGGCGTACTACACTGTAAGAAGTGTCTAATTGTTCCTCATTACTGAGTTGTCCCTACACATAAATCAAGTGCTAGGAGAAGGTGCCCTGTATTGTTTTTGAATCTGCATTCTTTTGAGTACTACTGTCCAAACAAAAGATTTCACTTTCAGGAGAGTTTCTGATTTCCAACTAGAAGTCTCAAGAATAAATTGATGGCCTATTGGTAGAAGTAACTATGAATTAAAAAGGATTTAGAAAAGAGAACATTTGATGAACCTATAGTTAAGCTTTCCAAACTCTGCTGTAAGTATGAACAAAGGCATATGGGCCCTAACATATGGTTCTAAAGTACTTAATCTAAAAAATAACCACTAGTTCATGAATTTCGGTATCAGAACGAATTCTGGCAAAATGAATTTTTCAAAGGAAATTTCCCCGGGAGAGGACTGAAAACACCAAATTGGAGAGCCGTGCAAAAAGGTATGATGGGACAAATTTGGAAAGTTTGACAAAAGCAGAACATTTTCTCCCCCAAAGAGTCTTTGCAAATGGTTATCAATTCTTAACTGCCATTCTACGATCCTGTCAATAGTGTTAATAGAATATCTGCTTTACTTTGTAAACTACGGCATACAGCTTATTTAAGTATAATGGTAAAACTTGTGTGTTTTAATGACACACAATTGGTCACACAAATACGTACTTATATTCGGTGACAAGGTTCTTGCTAAGTTCAAATCTTGAAAGGAGATGAGACCTCTGTGACATAATGTCCTTAATTGGCCTTGTAGCATCGACATAAAACTAATATGATTCGTATTTTTAGTAACTAAACTATTATTATTATTCAGATTTATTTTATTAAAATCACGTTTTCTAGAATACAATAAATTTTTTAAGCTTGAAGAAAGGCAATTGTTTGGCTTGCTGTAGATTTTTATTTTCAAGTCACTTTTTCAATATGTGAGGTGAGGATACATTATTTTTGTGAACATCAGGCTAGATCAGGAATTTTAAAGCCTGTGATGATACTGAACCTTCATCAAGACTTGCTTAAGGTGTTAAATAATGAGTTTTCTGGAAATTTGGATCCCTTGTGAGATAATTATTTATATATATATGTGTGTGTATATATATATATATATATCTGATTCCTAGATAAGTTTGAGGTTGGGGTAATGATCTCTGTCGAAGAGGGAAAGTATGCTTGAGCATCAACTTGGTGGAGACTTTAGAAAAGAGATAATTTGGAGTAAGAAATCAACAATTAAGTGGGCTAAAGATGTGAATGAGAAGTCTAAATTATTTTGCGGAGTGGCTGCAGGTAGTTGGAAATTTTGCCAAGAAATTGCAGTCTGAGAATAGGGGTCATATTATGAATGTCCAGGTAATTGCTGAAAATCATTTTTCTTTAGCTGGTATGTATAAAGGGACTCCTCTGGCAAACATTTCATTTGAGCCTTGGATTGTGGCCTGCCTGATTCCTCAAGGCAGCTTAGTTGGAGAACTCTATTGAGGAGGAAGAAATAGGGAAAGTTATTGGCTGGACGGATGGAGAGATGCTGTGGGCTTTTATGGTTTCACTGTTGATGTTTTCCAGAATTGTTAGGATTCTCAAGTCAGATGTAAAAGGACTGCTTGGAGTTTTATCATAACTGTAAAAACTCATGAGTGAGCTGTATGAGATTTTATTTCTTTATTTTTTTTTTTTGGGTAACATATTTTATTTTTTAGGCATATCTGCTTGGTGCTTGATATTTACAAACTTGTTCTATTGACAGATGGGATTGAGGCAGAAGTATCCATTGTTCTTGTCTCTGTTTATTTAAATGGTTAAATGTTTTTAACTCATTTAGTGGTAAGGGGTAGGATTTATCAACAATGGACTTTTTTCTATTATTGGAAGATTCCGAGTAATTAAAAATGAAAAGTCCCTGATGCATATGTCATTCCTCCTGTTGGTTTTCTTCCCACAAAAATATTTCTTCTGATTAAATTATAACAACATTTTTTAAGTTTTGAAAAATTACAAATGATTCTTCAAAAGAAGATGATTAACAGACTTTTCTATTGTTTCTTGATAACAAATCACTACCTTTTCTAAGGTAGTAACAGTTAGTTTAGACATTAATACTAGGATTAATACGAATGGTGTTGTGTGCCCACAGTTCCATAAAAGCCCTTTGACCTGATGGTTATATCACATCTCATTCTAGGTAGTGCTAAAATAGCTGCTCATCTTTTATAACAATGTCCTGCACCTATTTATTTATGGAACCAATTGTTTGGAAGTTTTGGAGAAGATATTATGTTTTTTTGGGGGGGGGGGGAGGGGAGGGGAGGGAAAAAAAAAGAAGAAAAAAGGTGACTGAGCACATGTTGCTACTGGCAAGGGAGTTGTACTAGCTTAACTAAAGGTTTCAACCTTCAGCTTGGGAATGCTGCCATGTTAAATATTTGGTTGTAGCGCTTGCCACTCAAAAGGGTCCTAGCCAATTTAATCTGTATTATCTTGGGCCCTGATAAATCCTCCAATTGAAGTGGAGCCCTGGATATTGGGTGCTTTTCTTTTGTTTTGTTTTTTTTTTTTTTTTTGGGGGGGGGGGGGGGCTTGTCTCTTCAATGGCACAAGCTAGCACGCACTTTTTTCAGACGTGCTGGCATTGGTCTTCACACAATTTTCTATGTTCATACCTTGAAATTGTGCATGCTATATTCTCACCATTGTAAAATTGTGGTGAGCATCAATCATGATATGTTGTCATCTTTAATCTATTTTGGTTCTTTACGAAGCTACCTGCCTGAAATTTTAAATTTAACATTAAGATAAAATGCTTGAAAGTAGCAATAACAAACGAGAGGATGGACGTATTGTAACAGGAGTTGAAATGTCTATTGGGTTTTCAAAGCATTTAATTATCTGGTAGTTTATATCCTTTTCGCTAAGCATCTGCTGTGTAATAATTTGTGCATAAAAAATGTGTTGTGATGACAGGTCAAGTTGGAGCAATACGGCTGGGGATCAGTAGGGCTTTGCAAAGCTGGGAACCAGACTTGCGTCCCGCACTTAGAAGTGGTATAATAACTAAGCCTTCTATCAGTTGCTTTATCATGCTATGTTTGAGTCACCACGTCTTGTGCAAAAGATAAAGGATATATTTCTCTCGCTTCCTCTTAGAGATGGTTAAATTACTCTACCCTTGCCAGCATTACTTATAAAAAATTAATTCTTCCTTCTATTATGAGCTCTCACTCAAAACCAATGAATAGACCAACAATTAAATCTATTACCAAAATACTTTCAATACAATTATTAATTATTTTATTAAAAGCATTGAAAATGTGTTTCTCAAAATTTAGTATTGATTATTTTTTGTATTTTTAAATTTTAACGAACTTCCTTTGGAACAAAATTTTGTCACATTTGTAACGGTGCTTATGTTCATTAGATCTATATTGAAGATGCATATTATTGTTCAAATCAAATGTAGTACATTTCATTAGCTATTTACCTAAAAGGGACTCTTTCTCTCTCTATAATTTTTTGAGGGATTTGGAAGAGAACATAGACTCTAGGAGTTCTTAGTTTTTTCCCCCCTTTCTCAATACAATTACCTGAGATCTGGTATTGTATTTTTCTCCATGAATCAATCCTAACTTTACTGTGCCCCCATGATGATGTACTAATGTTTATTTTTGAGCAGCTGGTTTCTTGACTCGGGATCCTCGTGTGGTAGAAAGGAAAAAGCCAGGAAAGGCCAAAGCAAGAAAAAGTTTCCAATGGGTCAAGCGTTAAATACTTGGAGCTTCTGTTCATGTACCATGAATTTTGTATGGAACATCTTGCTTCTTTCAATGAACTTGCCAAAATTCAATCATCCTGTTCACCTGGGATAGAAAGAGACACTAGGGTTTAATTAGTTTTGGAATGAACATCTGATCTTTTGCTATGCTATATTATGAAATTTTGGTTTAGTGCTGCATGAAGTACATGTTTTGTCTGTGTATTTATTTATTCTTTTGGGACGGGACATCTTAAACACCCATAGCAACAACAATGATGGAGGAAGAGGGGGTGATCAGGTAGAGCAGGGACAAGACAGAGGCAAAGAAAAAGAAGCGGCTAAAGTTGTAAATGGACATAATTGTAATAATATTAGAAAAATGACATGGGCATTTTAGTCCGGACATCTTAAATTATTTTTCTCTTCTCCAAAAACCCTAATTTTGTAGTGGGAGAGGAGGAGGGGGAAAAAGGCAATTTTTCCTTGCATTTCCTCTCCTTTCAACCAAACACACCTCTTCCCTTCCTTTCCCTCAAAAAATCCCAAACCAAACAAAGGGTAAGGAAAGGTTATTCATGGTTGGTACATATGGGAGTTTACCTATGAAAGACAGGAGTGGCTATGAACTATTACTTTCGGTTCTAATTATAAAAGCTAGTTGACTAATTTGAGAAGATTAAGGAAAGAAGTTAAGTTAGTTATTTGTAACAACTATGTATTGTTTTTCTTAAAATATTTTTATTAATCAAGTGTATTGACTAGAAGTATAATTGTTAGAAGGATTACTTTGGGAAAAAAAAAGCATAAATATGAGAGACAAAGTGGGTTGGGGTTTTATATTTACGACTAAAATAAAAGTCAAACAAGATCTTATATTAAGAATCAGAGGCTATATATATTGTGGAAGAATTCTAGTGCTATAAAGAAATCAACAAGTATTGTGAGAGGCCATCCATGGGATGGAATACAAAGAAAAGCTAGTGAAATAACGGCACTTAATGACGGGGAAAAGCTAGTAAAACGATATGTAGGCAAAATTATCATTTAATACAAGATTAATTTGTGAAATATTGATGTAGACACTGGCAAAGCCAAATACTTGTGTTTTTCAAGAGTTAATCTTATGCTTTTGTGGGCTTTAATGGGTTATCAAGCATAACAAGTGTTAACACTTAAAAATGGAGATTTGAGTGTAAATTTCGGGAGTTTGTGGTTAAATTGCTGTATTTTTATTAATATTTGACTCCTAAATATTTCTTATTTTTGAACATATGATCCTACTCATTTTAATTGTTGTTGTAGGTCATGTGGCACAACACTTCTCAATTGGTCACGGAATTAAGGAAAATGGACAAAGTTGGAATTTGAGAGGAGGCATATTTTTTGTAGCTAGAATTTTTTTTGTTTTGGTTGAACTATGTTTTCTATACACACTGTCAGGAATCGAACCATTGATTAGATGCTTAAGAAATCTAGTTAATTGCTATGTCACATCTCGTGATTTGTAGCTAAAATTTTATATTGGCATTGCATTCCATGCAGCACCTATTTTAATTCCCACGTTAGATTCGCTTATCCCAAGTCCCAAACACTTCCATTAACATTGTGACTAACGCTCAAACTCCCTAATCAGATTCATACGCACGCCTCAACGTCATCTTCTTCACCTCTCTCACTCTCGTGTTCATCATCATCTTTACCAATTCCTCCATCCATCTCAGTTCTAAACCGATCCTTTACCTCCTCTTTTCCGTTCGTCCATCGTATCTCAATTTCCATCTCCTCTGGAGCTGTCACGTGGCTGTTCTCATTTCACCCTTTCCTTTGGTCCTTCATGGAGGTGTTCCAGGGTGCTATGGAGTCCATTAAATTTCTTCAGCTCTTGTGATGATGTGGCGAGATCGAGGATTGAGCTTCATCGGGGAGTGGTTGATTCTACTCGTCCTCCTCTTTTTATCTTGTGATTATTAGATTTCTGATTAGAATTTGTAATGTAATTGTGATTTATAGGGAGTTGTGTTAGTAAGTACATTCCAGTTTTTTTTTTTTTCCGGACCTTGGTAAGTACATTGGAGTTTACACTTTACAAATGTTGTAGACTTGATTAATTGTGATATATATCTATATATATTGCTGGAATTTATGCTGAATTTGCATTTCACTCTTGATTACTTGTGGACTGTAATGTAATTGCCTGCAAGGTGTTTGTTCAATAGGAGAATTACAATGAGGTCCCAAGTAACGAAAACAATTAAAAAAACAATTCTCATTATAAGACTTGTTATTATAGGTTGTTAAGGTTGTTATTGAGACCTTTTAGTAATTATTTCTCTTCTGTGGGACTTGATTGTAATTCCCCCTTGTTCAATTGTCATTATGGCTTTTTTTTTCTCCCCAACTAAGATACCATAAATAGTAAAAATAAAACACTAAAACCCCGCAATGTAAAAGGTTTTTAATAAAATGCTATATTTAAAAATAGTCCAAATGAGTTACACTCTTACCGGTTATATCAAATGTGACATTTACTTTTTTTAAATTAAAGGCAAAATCATTCACATCTCAAACGATTTTAGCACCTGTTTGGATTTTTGTTTAAAGGTCCAAACATGCCTGGGAATTTGTGGAACGAAGGTTAGCTTGTTTGGAATTTGTGAACTGTTTGGGTGGACTCTTTAGAAAACCAACTTTTGAAAGAAAAGCTAGATAAAATCACTAGAAAAACTCAGTAACTTAATATTTAATTGATAAAATTTAATTATGAGAGTATACTACAAACCCAATTGATATGTCTTACTAATTTTGAATTGTGCCCTAAAAATCTGAAAAAAGAAATTCAATAGCTATATGTAAAAATTAAATTAAATATATCTAATTAAGTGTTTTTTTAGTATTTATAACTTTTTTACAATACATTGACTCTTTATTTGTATACTTTTAATTTTAATATTTTTTAAATTTATCAAATTTTATGCATTATATATTTAAAATAAAACTCATGTCCTTTTTAGTTATTTTCAATCTAAACATGCTTTTTCATTGTTTATCCAAATAAGTTTTAATTTGTCAAATGGATTTTTTTTTATTTATAAAAGTCAATCTAAACATAAACTGTATTATACTAACTGACTTTTACTCTAATTTATATTTTACAAAAATCAAATGAAATAAAAGTTACTTCTATCATTGCTAACCAAACACACCTTTAAATCTTGTCATATTCTCACATTAAATGATACCATAGCAAACGAAAAACATCAAATGATTTTCAAGGTTGTGCTATCATTTGTTGTGAGAATCTAACAAGAACAAAATCATTTCAGAGGTAAGCAATGTTGCTTTTGATTTAAGAAAGATAAATTTCACATTTGATATAGTTGACAAGAGTATGACTCACTCTTAGAGTGGATAAATTTTGTAAAAAAACCTGTTCAGGCTGTGAACAATTTTAAATACAACATTTTGATAAATACTATATAGCATTTTAGTGTGTTTTTCTACTATTTATAGTATCTAGATGAAAAGACCATCACCATCATTTTTAGGTGATTAAACAAGTAGACTGTGGTTGTTTAGTTGTAGCTCGAGTTAAAAAAATTGTCACAACGGACATAAACCACAAATTAGGTAATCCTTAGGTGTTATTATGTTATTCATTTGATTTAGTTGCTTAATCAGGTTGATGGAGTAATTAACCAAGGCTAATGTGGTAAAGATCGAATTAGCCAAAGAATGAACAAATGAAAATAAGAACAGGAGGAATAATTTCTTCTATTAATAAGGTAAGTATCTCACCATCACTTAGAAATATACCAAGCAAAATCTCCACACATGCTTTATTACTTAGGCAAGGTGCCTATTTATAGCTTTTATAGAGAGAAATACATGCAAAGTAGCTCAACAGAAAATCAATGAAATTCAAATGAATAAATTAAACTATCCCTAGGTTGTAGTGGGTACACCAATTATTTCTTAGTTTAACTAACGCAACTAGTAGGAAAATAAGGATAATAAAATAAAACAAATGAAACAACAATAAAATAGCAACCATTGCAACAGATTAGCCCTTAATCGTCTTTGCCCCGCTTCTTTCGCCTAGAATAAGTCGATTGGAATGTACCGGGGGTCTTATCATTACTCCTTGCCTAAAAAGACGACTTGTCCTCAAATCAGAAACTGGGGAATTATGTTGCCAATAAATCATAGTCTTCCCAGGTGGCATCTTCTATTGGTCGTTCAGCCCATTAAATTAGCAATTCTAGTTTGTTGTTTGTTAACTAGCAGTGTTGCATCGCCTTTAATGGAGCCCATATCAACTCTATTTTGAAAGATAAAGGTAAAGGACCTGAAGTAAGGGGTAGGCCTTGACCAACAGTTGGTCTTAGCGGGGATACATGGAATATAGGGTGAACTTTGGCCGTTGAAGGGACCTCCAGATCATAAGCTATAGGGCCAATGTGATGTCATGCCACATCACTAGGGCCGTTGAAGGAACTTTGGCCATTGTAAACTTAACCAAACCGTATCACTAGGGGTAAATTAAACGTCGTGTCAGTGGCGATCAGCTTGAACTTTCATTTGGTTCTGTACTTTCAGTAAATTGTCACGCAGAACTTTGAACATGTCATCCCTTAATTCCAGTTGCTCTTCTAATTTTGTAGCTACCATCTCTCTTTTTACATAAGGGATAAGATGAAGTGGATCCCTTCTATACACTAGTTTGAATGGGATGTTTTTAGCTGCTACATGATAACTGGTGTTGAATGAGTATTCAGCCCAACGCAAGTATTCACTCTACCTTTTGGGTTGTTTGTGTGCAAAGCAACGGAAATAAGTTGCCAGATAGCAGTTAACAACCCCAGTTTAACCATCTAACTGAGGATGATGTGATGTGCTCATATTCAGGAAAATTTGACTTAAGCGAAATAATTCTTTCCAGAAGCTACTTAAGAAAACAAAATCTTAATTAGAAACTATAAAGCGAGGCATACCGTGAAGGCGGACTATGTCTTTGCAGAATAATTGAGCCACAGACTTGGTAGTGTAAGGAAGAGACATAGCCATGAAGTGAGCATATTTGCTCAACCTGTCAACCACCACCAATATCACGTCACAACCCCTAGATTTTGGAAGTCCAGTGATGAAATCAAGGGATATATCCTCCCAAATTCGCTCCAGAATAGGGAGAGGTTGGAGAAGCCCTGCAAGAGCTAAGTTTTGGTACTTGTTTTGTTGGCAAACCATATATCTTTGGATATAGTGCTTAACATTGTGTTTCGTTCCTTGCCAAAATAGATGTGCTCCTAACCTTTTTGATGTTTTCATGTAGCTACCATGGCCCCCTATAGCCGTGGCATATGCTTCTTCCATTAACTTATTTTAGAGTTCAACTTGTTTGGGTATGACCAGTTTTGACTTGTAATATAAACGGCATTCACAATGCTATAATTTAACTTACGATCTGTTTTCTGCTATAATTTGATAATAATTGCCTAAGCTTTTGGATCTTCTTGTAATGAGCATGGCAGTTGGGTTATATCATCTACCATAGGAACCACTAGTTGGCAAAAAATAGTTTGAGGGTGGTGTGATATGAATTAGCTGTTGAATTGTTCTTTCCTAATTTGTATAAGACGGTGAAGTCGAATGGAAGCAATTTGATGAGGAGTCACTACTGGGAGTTAGTCACAATCCTCTAATCTAATAAATGCTTCAAGCTGCAATGATCTATTTAGACCCCAGTCAACCGGTTAACGGTCCGGTTTGGTTTAGCTTAAAAATCAGCTTCCAATCAAACCGGAACAAGCCGAGACAAATAAGAATAAATTGGTAAAAACCATGTAAACCACTGGCCTTAGTGGGTTAACAGTTATTGTTTTTTACTTCCTTCTTATTCTTATTGTTCATCGGAGAAGTGATGGGCGACTGTTAGGCCGGAGACCATGAACACTATAATGGTAGAAGCAAGGGATATCATGGAGAGGAAGACAAAACTTACTTTGGAAGTCTGTTGTATGCCACTTTGAAGCATTAATCTTGTTTTTCTCATAGAGGATTAGAAGAGAAGGAGAAAGAGAATAGATAGAGGAGGATGAATGAATAAGAAGTGAGGAACACAGGAATCAATTTGATGAAAAACGAAGAGAGTGATGCATGTTCAAGCCTTCAAGGAGATAAGTCTGCTACCGCCTTTGCTTGTTCATTGTCCAAGAAAAAAGGAGAAAAGAAAAAGCTACTTTGTGCATTATGAAGAAAAGTTTTTAGTTGGGTCACATGGGCGAGAGAAGAAAGAGGAACAAAGAAAAAAGAGCAAGAAATTTAAAAAGCAAAAAAAAAAAAGATTTTTACTCGGTCATGCGAGAAAAGAAGGAAAGAAGAAAAGGAAAAAAAATTCATATATATAAATTATTTAATAACATGACTACCCATTCAAAAATTAAATATTACTTTTTATAATTAAAATTTGAATATTTTTACTTATGTTAACTACATTATATTATTTTAATTACTACCATTCTTACCGCAATTTAATCTTGATCTGACCTACTGACTCTTGAACCAGTATTCAAACTGGTTCAGTGTCCGATCCGGTTTTTTATTCCTTGTATATGACTTTGTTGATCCATATTTATAAAAATTTCATAAAGTTTTAGAGGCCTGGCACAACCATCCCTCTTCATCCGGGTTTGAATTAAATTTATAATTAATTATATATAATAAAACCTCAGCTTTTGTTAAAAATGATCCGAATAATCTTTTTCATGCTAAGATCTATTTCTAAGCTAAAACCTATTTGATCGTAAACTATTTGAAAGGAGCTTCTCACAATTAATTATTAAATCATAATTAAAATAAATCAATTTTATCTCAAATCTATTCTCCCTACCAATAAACCTCCCCCCCCCCCAAAAAAAAAAAAAAAACACCCACATACACACACACAAAAACTAATGGTATCTTCTTTTTAGTCGTCAACCACATGGAAAATTAGCCAAAAACAAGTCAATTTTTCCACAAGAAAACACCAACACTTTTCCTCCCTCATTTTTTTTTTTTGGTTAAGATTACCAAAGCCCTAAGATCAAAGCTCATCTTTGAATCCTCCTTTTTTTTTTTTTTTTAAACTAGCTTGGATCATCCAGCGCAACAGTGCCAGGGCAGGTGAACAATGTAAAAGCTTGGGAAAAGATAAAAACAAAAACTCGGGTGAACAGGATTGCAAGCTTGCTTTATTTATTTAATGAAAGGCTATGGTAACACCATAGTGGAACAAAGTCGGGGATCCAAAAAAAAAGAAAGAACAAAATAAATACCAAGCCTAAGAAAAGGACTTATTTATCCTTTAGCCAACTGGATCGGGAGCATTATTAAAAACGGCCGAAAAGGAGGCATAACGTCTTCCTTCACTCAGTCTGAGATGCTCCAAAAATATTTTTATGTTTACTGGTAGGAGAATGGCCCAGGCTAAAAAGACAGAACAATAAAAAGACAATATATTCAAACTTTACAACACACACCGAATAAAATACATGTAAATTTAAATATATTTTTCATATAAATATACATATACATACATACATACATACATACATATATATATATATATATATATATATTATAACCTCACTTTCTCCCAACAGCCAAGAATGCCTCACACAAGTATGCGACCTTTCAGGAGCACATTACTAACCCTACCTTTTACCGTCAAGGAATGTAATTATTGATCTCAGAAGTGCTTATGTGATTAAAAACACGGGAGAGTTCCCGTGAAGTTTTACTTAAGCATTTTACAGATCAGATCATAATCTTTACTTCATAAGCAGTTCATGTTTCGTGAGTCATTCCAAGGAAATAAAACAGCAAGGATACGGCAGCATCGGCTTCAAAATAACAGATTTGACACAATTTTTTCTCCATTTAACACTAACAAACAAAAGAAATTTCCTTCCTTTTTTCACTCTAGCATCAAAAGAGCACATTGTTGCAACTTAGTGGGGTAGAAACAACCAATCTGTGTACCTAAGTCAAAATAAAATGCTAAATATATAAACTGATTAACATGAAACCGGGAAGAATCCTTACAGCCACCAACGACGATGGAGCAACATTTGATCCACCCAGTAATAGGGAACTAGTTAGCTTTAAGGAAGGGCCAAAAATCTGTCAAACGTTCGCTGGCTTCTAGTCATCAAATCACTTCCAGCCAAGATAAATATCTCTCCTTGAGTCTTGTGATGTCTGAACAAATCCATAAACAGAATTTGTTGATAAAATGATGCCGAGAGAGAAAATACACCACACGTTTTATGTTTTCTTTTTGAAAAATGTTCTGCAAATTTGTCCCAATAAAGAGAAAAATGCATAAGAAATAATTGCTCAAGGTAAACGCTAACATATCACGCGAAGCCAAAGAAAACTATGCCTCATGCTCCCATTTCAACCAAAGATTTTAACGTGCATTGTCAATTATCTAAAATACATATAAGGTACCAGGCAATGCATTAACTAAGTGAAATCTAAATTTGACTGCTCAAAAACTAGATGTTCCTATGGAAAAAGAAATGTTTTCAGATGCCTAGTTGCTAATTCCACCAAAACGACCCTTCTAATTTTGAGCACAAAGCAAGAAGCACTTCTGTGTCAACTAAAAGGGGATGACCTGGAGAAATGAGAAAACAAAAAGATGAACTTTTGGCAACAAAGGAACAAAATGATAACAATTGAATAATTGATGACATCTTTAAGCATGAAGCATTACTTTGATTAAAAAAAAAAGATAATAGAGTCTTCATTATCGATTAAATTTTCATGTAGCCTTCAGGGTTTTCTTCCAAAAAAGAAAATTTCCAAGCAAACAATTTAGACAACATACATGGTAAGAGGTAATATGTAAACTGACAACAGCTCATCTAGCTTTCGAGATTAGAGGCAGCTTTCTTCTTTCTTCTCTTGTTCTTGGGCTTCACTGCATCTTTCAGAGTCATGCCTTCCATCTTTTGCACAGCAGTTGAGGTTGTGTTTGCTGTTGAAGAATCTAATTTACTATCTTGTGGTTGTTCCTCTAGCTTAACTTCAGTAGACATTGTTTCACAACCTGAATCCTTCTGTTTGCAAGTAGCTGACTGTCCTGCTCATTTTAGAAATGATCTAGCAAGATTATGCATTTATATGATGATTACGTTTAGAAGCATATGCTACGCACAAGTGCTGATTTGTTTCTGCTTCCTTTAGTGCATAAGCTGATGATACTTTAAAAACTTTCTTCACAAGTTATATAGGAGAATCAATTTTTAACAATAGTTCATCGAGTAGCAGGTGCCTGCCCAGGCACTAAGTATGAATCAACACATCAGCAGAAGGGGTTATAGCCTCTCATACTTTAAGGGGTGTCCATTCAGTCTGTCAACGGAGGCCCTTGCAATTGGTGCCAAGATTAGTGCCTCAATGAGAGTATTATGACCTTTTTCTTTCTTTTTCTTTTTTCTTTTTGGTTAAATCAATAAGATTTGACCCCTAGATGTTTATCACAGAGCATTTCTTCATAACCCATTCTTGAGAAAAGACACTACAAACGCCAAAAAGGCTAAACGGACGATTTTCCTTTTTTCTTTTTCTTTTTTTCTTTTGGCCAACACTAAACAGACAATGTCACCTGATAATTAGAAGATCAGGTAATAATATTTTATGAAACATAAATATGTAGCACTCAATCAAATAAATTTGGTTAAAAATAATGACCATTCATTGTTGCTTTCTACACTTGCAGTCGAACAACCCCAAGTGCAAGCAAGTGCCAGCGGATCAGTATGCCTTTGAAGAGCCAATTAGAAGGTATATCACGGCTAAAATCACAATGGTTGACAGAATAGATGAAGTACAATCTTAGGATACAAGTATAGAGAAAAAATTATTACCACGTGATGCCAGAGAAGCTCTAAGATCATCAAAATTGACTCCCTCAGAGTATGGATCCCTGAACAAAGAAGGAAATTTTGTTATACAAAGAACAATTTTTATTAAATCAAACATAACTCTTCTTGATATAGACAGAACTCAGGATGACATGACCTCCAAGTATCGTGATGCAGAGGCTTCTAAGTATATATTATATATGATATTTCTGAAGACGATGTTATAAACTGTTTTTTTTCTTACACTTTTATAACTTTCTTTTCTTTGGCAGGAGAAACTTTTAGAACTATTGAATACCTAAATTGTTTTGCTAATTTCTCTCTACACGTATGAAAGGACAAGTTTAGCATTAAAATGGACAGACTTGAATGGAATCCATTAGTTTTTGAAGAGGATAATATCATACCAGCTTGAGGGACCCCCAATGAAATTTTGCGAGCCTTTATCCCTGATGCTACTTTGTACTTTTGATGATGTGGCATCACATTCCATGAAACTGCCTTCATCCTTTGGCGTTGATTGGTCTAAACAACCACCATCCTTCTGAACATCTGACTGCCTTTGTTTTTCCTCTAGCTTAACAGAAGAACCACTTACATTTAAGGCATCAGTAGAGTGACGCTTAATCTTCTGAAGGGTCCTTTCTGTGTTGTATGATTCAACCTACACCAGTTTCATTCATAACAAAAAGGAATAAGTGGAAATCTACACGACTACACTAAAGAGTCATATGACAATAACAATAAAAGTGATGCTTAGGAAGCATTTTCATTAGGTATGAAGACTCAGCATATAGGACGTTAGTGTAGAGAGTTCATTGGCAAAAGTAATAAAAGCCTCAGTGTACTTCTCAATGTTCATGCAGAACTCAATCAGCACATTTTTTTTTTTTAGATAATATGAATCTGCACATTAATTTTAGCAATATGTACTCAAACAAATAGCAAAATCTTTTATTCCTTTTCTTATCGTTAGGCACTTCAAAAGTAATTTTACCTAACACTGCCCGGTATCCAACAATCAGTCCCGCAAAATTTAGCATGAACATTCCAAAACATAAAATTTATTATTCCAAATAAGCTAATAAACCTCAACATCATGAGCTGTATGTTGGATGAAAATTGCTAAAACTTCATGAGACTTTCATAGACCTTTGACCCTGTTGGGGTTCAGCATTTCACAAAACAATGGTCATGACTTCAATACCAAATCAAGTCCTAAAAACTCACGCACCATACATGGAAACCTTACAGCATTTTTTATCTTGGTCGTAATATCACCAGCTTTCACATGAGCAAGTTGCAAACAATGCATGATCACCCGCTGAAAGACTCCTTCCCCTCCAGCCTTTTGAACAGCACAAACATCACCATTAGCATTTAGTGTAGCTGTCATTCGCCCAGTCATCACTGCCTCTTCATTGTGGGTTGGGTCTATCACCTAGAAAGCATCATTTGAAATTAGATAGATATTGCATAGTTGGGTCTAGCCTTGAGAGATGCATTCATAACTGGAAAAAAAATTAATATATCATACCACAATATTCTCATTACTGAAAAATCCAAAAGTCACAGCAATGGGAAGATGATGTACAATCAAAGGAAGTGGCTCTCGAACCTGTCAATTAATGCCCATTAATACAGTAAAATGATTATAAAAATAGATATAACTGGTAATTAGTCATGAAACATTGGCCTTCTTAAGCAAACAGACGATACTTTACTGGAATCCAACTCCATTAAGTATTGGAGAATAAAAATATATTAAAAAAATTATGATATTAATGGTTGGTAATTTAGGAATTGCAGATAAGCATAGAAGATACGTATTTAAATAAGATCATGATCATTTTGGTTAATAATGAAGCAGGATTAAAACTAAATAGTTTTATTTTATTAATTTTCTAGGAGTTTTTAATTTTAAGTCGACATAAAGGATTGGAATATTTCGTCAAATTTTTGTACTATTTTACATTTTTTAAAATTTATCCTTTGGAGTTTGGACTTTACATAAGGTGCTTACTAGCTAGGCATAAATATTATCATTAAATATTATCATTACTAGAGTTTTACTAGTTCTCCCTCCTTTCTTCTATATCTTCTCTTCGCCTGATTTCTCCCTCATTTTCATTATGTATGCCACTGGTCCTAGATCATTAAGCTTTTTGTTTCTACTGTGAACCAGGATTATGTAAGAAATAATAGCCAAAAAGACATTGTCAAGATTTAAACAAAATATACTTCAAAACACAAAATCAAATGAGTTCCCAGCTTACTTGTATAAATAACAATGGAACATAACTAAACAATACTTGAAGTCATGGATTGCTGCAAGATCATATTGCAGTTCCATGGCGAAACTTCCTCATGAGTTGGGATTTTTTTAGCGTAATTTCACATCAAAATAACAAAACTAGGAAAGTTGTTAAAATTTCCAAGTAGTAAATCTTTATTCTCAAACTAAAGTTAACCTCAGGTGGATGCACAACAACATCCTGATCATTCTCTCCTCCTAACGTGCATTCAGGCCTCCGAAATGTCAAGAGAGCAGCCAAAGCAGAAATGTTGGCAGCATCAACAAGGTTTCTATTCCCAACGAAAAGAATTGTACACATTTAGCATCAGTATCTCCAAACAGCTGGAAATAAACTCATTTAAGCTGATTTAGTTAAACTACTAAAATGTAAAGTAAAAAACCAGAGGAGAAGCAAAGCTGACAATATACAGAGAAAATTAAACTACAGCTCACCCTCCATTGTCTAATATATGGATATCAATTCGAACGGCCCACACCAGCTTTCCAGAAAGAACACACAGTGATTCAGTGTCTACAGCTCTGCTTTCCCTGCAGATTCACTTTGAACATTCAGATAAATTTGGGTAAACATTAAGAACAGACAATGATCTGTACTTTAAACAGAAGATGAGTTTACCTTTCCACAAAAGCTTTCACATCAGAGAAAATAGAACGAAACATCTTATTCCTTTACAAGACTAGTATATGAACCTAATCAATTCCTCCTCACACAATTTCTAAATGAGATTACACTATATATATATATATATATATATATATATATATATTAAACAACAATAAATCCGAATTCTCGTGGAGAATAGCAGGATATATGAAATTAAAATAACCCATACGTAGGATTCGATTAAGCCTGAATAATCAGGAATCCCGCCTTTTCTTTTTCTTTTTTTTTGTTTTTTTTGTTTTTAATCAGAAGGCTGAAAAAACTAAGTTAACAAAAATCACCTTAAACCACGGTCTATAATTCGCCCTAACTCAACAGCAAATTCTCCAGGACGACCAGGCTCATACGAAGGATCAGCCATGGGAGAGAACTCCGTGTATATTGAAAGTGAGCCTTCATTAGGCCTGTCTCTGTAAGGCTGAGCTAGCTGAGCTGTTACAAAAGCCATCACATGGGTCTGCCCTAGTTGCACCTCAGACGACCCATCCTCTCTGCGAAACCCATAAAAACATTCAGAAGCATGAAACAACGGAAAAATACGGCCAGCTTTAAACAGAGTAAAGTGTGCAAGAGTCAAGAAATTTAATTGCCTGCCAAACTTTATAGTGAGCTTACGGTAGTCGAATGGACGGCGACCATCGACTCGAAGCTCCGAAAGCAAAGCTGTTTCAATGAATTTCTTTTCATTTATTGTCAAATGCAAAGCATTAGCCAGCCTCTGCTCCATTTCAGTTAACTCTATAAACAATTATATCAGGAAAAATTTTAAGTCAGCAAAGTTGAAGCTGAGTGCATGAAGGTCGACGCCGCGATGCGAGACAAGAGCGAAGACAGTGTGTGGCGGCAGCGGTGTTGTGACGCAGTATATTTGAAAGAAGAGTACACACAGAGGGGGACGGTGAACGCAGGGGAATGTGGAGGTCCAACGGTGACTTTACGGAAGAAGAAGAACGGCGGAGACTAGAGCCCAGCGATGACGAGCTAAGTCCTTTGGGGTTGTGTTTTATCGAATTACCATAATGCCATTCATGACTTTGTTTTTTTAAAATTTGATTATCACACAAATTTAAAAAGCAAAGTTATACTTTTATTTATTTTATTTTAAATATGAGAAAATTAGAGCTTGTTAATAGTTTTTGCCATACCAAATTTTTATATTTTTTTTATTATATATCATGTTATTTAAAAAATAACACTTGACATTTAACATGAAATTTTAAATAATTTATAATGTTTCATTTAAAGAAACATGATCAAATAAATATTATATATTTTAAAGTATTTAAGTATTTTAAAATTTATATTTAAAATTACATGTTAAACTGCAATTATTACTTTTTAAATGACGTGGTATGTAGTAAAAAAATATAAAAATTTCTCCATCACATAATAATAACTCCGTCATTAAAAAAAAAATTTTTGACATGGCAAAAACCATTAATTTTAATCCTATTTTGGGTTAATATAATTTTTTTCCTTCAATTTTATCTTTATTTTGGCTTTAGTTTCTCAAATTTCAAATTATAGGTTTTAGTTTTTCAAAAGTTAAAATGGTCTAGGTTTTTATTAAATTATAAGGACAAATCTTTTAGACAAAAAGAAATTTAAGGAATCAAAACCTATGGTTTGAAACTTGACAGACCAAAACTAAAATGAAGGTGAACTTATATATTTTTTTGCATTATAATGTTAATAGATCATTGGTGGCTCAATAGTCACCTTTACTTTTGGCCAATTTAGTTAATGGAGAATTAACACAATTCCCCATAATATGTCTCATTAGTGTTTTAAATCTCATTGCTCTTTTATGATCTCATTTTGGGTTAATTTCATTATTAGTCTTTATAGTTTACTTTTATTTCAATTTTTGTCCTTGAAATTTAAAAGTAGGGTTTTTCGTCCTTTTAAGTTTTGTCCATATGAAACATTGGTCCTTGCGGTTTAAAAAGGACTTCGAGTTAAAATTGACGGCGTTAATTTTGATGATGTGGCATTAACCTCATTAAACTTTACTAATGTGAGCTACTTGGGCAAGATGACTAGGTAATTTTGCTTGCTAAAGTTCTGACCTAGACATGTGACAAAGAAATTAGAAACATAGAATGCAACTTAGCAAACACGCAAATGGACCGAGGAAGCCATAATGGACCACTTGCCGGCGATCATGCATCTTGGTAGAGCTCTTAAAAGTAGGTTTTAATTAAGCCTAAGAGCAAACTGAACTGAGCAAAATAATTATATTCAATCCAATTGCCCTAGGCTTACTTCTATGACGTGCCAAGTGGTGATATCTATAGGGTCAACCATATATACGCAGCAGAAGATTACAATGAGTTTTAGATTACCCTTTGTCAGGTTTATAATAATTCTTCGAATTTTGCAGGTATCTTCAAAATCACTATCTATAAAATGTTGATCCATAAGTGACTCTGGCTTTGTCAAAACTACAAATACCTCTATCCAAGTACCTCTTGCTTTAAAATAAGCCGCAACAACTTATTGGTCTAAGTTTATCTTTCTCATTTTGGGATAAACAAATGATACTTATGAATAAACTATAGCGGGTCAAAGTGATTTTAATTATTTTGGGTTTAGTTTTGTTTTTGGTTATCAAAATAGAGGTGAATAAATCATGTCCATATGTGTTTGTTTTCTTTGGATTCCCAAAACCTCCCTACTCTTGAACTCCTTTCCAAGCCTATAACATTATCCGTAAACCAACACAGCTTTGAATATCAATCTATTACCAACTGAATAGCCTCCTATTCTTTATTCTATAACTTTCTCACAAGCTTTTTGTGCCAAATCTTAATCGCTGTGACTCTCCATGTTGAACCGATTAGCAATTGCTGTTTAACCATTCCCTTAGTCCTAAACCCACCCCTGCCACCCAACTAAACTATTAAACAAATACCCCAAAAGTAGAAAACCATGATCGATTTGACATTCTTGAATAGAAACAGCTTTAAACAACATTTATTATAATCCTTTGTGTTCAAAAGACAATAGGAAAATAATGAGGTAAACTACTATGTTTCAATTCATGGTATCTATTTTCTTCCAACTAGAATGATCACTCCTAATAGACATCCCAATGGCTTTTACTTCCTCGTATCTTTGAAGCTACTCTCTTGTTCTTATTATCTTACTTTGAAAAATATTTGTGTATGAGTTTTGAAAAGGAAGAAAAAGGAATCAGCACAAGAGAAAGAGGAAAGGTTTGAAAAAAACATAAATGCCATAATAGGAAACACAGTTATGTGGCTACCTTCACACATTCATCTGTATCTTAATCCTTTTTTCAGGTACTAGTTCAAAACTCTTATTTTTGCATTCAGTTTCTGTAGGGGTTTTTGCATAATACTACTACCCAAATTCTTATAATAATCTTCTTCATTTGTATCAAAATTCCTTGGGGTTATGGTGTAACATCGATTCTCTTAACCACGATTACCTAGCCAGATCATCCATTTTAAATATTATTATGGTAGAAAAGAGAAAAGGCTGCACTAAAACTACCATGGTAGAATAAATTTCAACTCAACTTCAAATGCTAACCAAGGTAGAAAAGAGTTTAATTAACAATTTGAAAACACTACCACAATTATAAGAAGAACCACTATTAGTTTAACAAGATAACCATGATAAAATAGGATAAAAATTAACTTCAGTGTACCTATTATAATTAAAAAAGATAAACTCCTTCATAATTAATGTATCCATGATATAAAAAGAAGAAATTAATATTCAAAGGATATCATGGATAATAAAACCATTCCAAATTAATTGCATACCAAATCATAATTGATAGAATACAACCCGTCTAACATTATTAAAGAAATCAATCCCGGTTTAATGTTAAAATATAACAAATAGGCCTTGGGTTTCACAAACCCAAAATATCAATACACCAACAAGCCCAACTAAAACCTTCCTGAATAATATTCATTCATGAATTGATATTAAAGTATTCAACATCTCAAATATACCAATTCAAAAAGTGGATTCACAAATACCATGCAATTCTAACAGTTTCCGGCCAACTGTCAGCACACATTCCCAATATCAAGTTTAATTAGAAGTACTAAATCACATTAGAGTATGTATAATGAGCTCTAATGTGGCAATATACGAATATTCGACGCGTAGTTAAAAGAAGGATGCTATAGAACGGTTATATCACTTTTCAAACCTGTAAAGTCTTCCCTAATGGACCCACACGATGACTATCACCTGAAAAACAATAATAACTATAGGGTGAGACATAAGTCTTAGTAACTAACAATTCAATTCATTATAGATACCAATATGTACTTATAAGGTGTCAAGTGAAACAATTAAGAAGGCATTTATAAACATATATAAATATTTCAAATAACACTAATTCTCAAAACTCATATCTTAATCCTCCAATCTCATAAATCATAATTCAATATCATTATACAAATAGATTCCATGTGACCATCTTCTCTTACTAGGCCTATCTCTTACTTTAGGGGATAAAAGCTAAAAAGGTTGTTCCCTTACTATGGGAGAACATAAAGAGTCAACTATCATACATTAATAGAGGTACTCATCATGAGATGATAACTCACATAGTTCACTCACCAATTCCCATCATATGCATCATGCTCAACAATTCAATAAGTGATCAAATCCAAATCACATAGCCTATTCCCAAGTCAAAACCCCGTAGTTATAATATGATATCATAAATTTCAAGAATTGCATATTAAAAAAAAACCTGTCTAATAAGATTTATTTAATTCAATCATATCAACATAAATTTCAACTATATTCCAAAATACCGTCCATAACTTCGCAATAAAACCTCTCACAAATAGCATATTAGCATATATAATGAGTGAAAAGTGGTTACCTCTCACCTAAGTAATGATCAATTACCACAATCAAGTTGCCCTGTGCACAATAATGCCAATTACAAATAATCTGCACAACCTCACAATCACCACGTATTAGTTAATAAACTAATCAAATGGCTAACAATAACGAGTGGGAACTTAAATCCCTAGCTTAACATAATTCTCATCTCAACTTCAAATTGATCATTCTAAAAATTAAAGTACTAACCTAATAGGTAAATCAACTCATAGGAATCCTCAATTGACACCCAATCAACTCAAATCAACATTTTAAACCAATTAAACATCAATTTTAACTCATATTAACATAGCCCAATCATTAAAACTCATTTTGAATCAGCACATTATCATTAACTATCATAAACCTCCTAAAAATCACAAACCCTACGTTTAGATTTCTTAAAACTCTAAATTCAAGATAACTAAACCGGTTAAACACCTAGCTAATCCATATAAGTCATTTAAACTCAAAATAGTCAGTCAAAACCTCAACTCATTTGAAATAATTGAAGAACCTTAAGATTCAACTATCTTAATCTTGCAAAACCTAAGAGAAAAGGGTATAAATGAGGTTACGAATATTTACTTTAATTTTTGGAAGCTCAAATATACTCTCCTAGGTTGAAAACACCAAATCCTTGTAGGGCCCCATGAGTTCTCCTCCTCCAACCTTCTAAAATCATTTCTACAACTGATTCATAAAACTAGATTTTGATGTTATAGCAATTATCTAGTAAACTTCTAGCAAATGACATAGTCAACACTTTGTATTGTTCATTATAGCAAATATTTAGTGAGCATCTAGCAAATGACACAATCAACACATGGTGTTGTTTGCTATAGCAAATGTCTAGCAAACGTCTAGCAAAAAACACATAAATAGGTTCAACTTTGAAAGCTTATAACTAACTCTACGAGTCTCTAAAAATTAAAAACTAGGCCTCTTTAAAAAGCTTGAGTTGTCTATTTTTCAATTCAAAAGGAATCAACCAAAAATATTATCATTTGGTCCTTGAAAAAGATGATTTACCAAACTGCTCAAACGTTTATAAGTAGCAAG